ATGTTTATATATGTTTTTTTTTTACAGAATTGTGTATGCTGCCAATATGTCAGTGTGTTTTTTTTGGTACTGCTGCTTCTGTAGATATTGTAGAACTTCCTGTAATTTTGAATTAAAAGTCTCTGCAAAATGAATTGCTTGTTATTATTATTACATTTTATTTTCATACAGGAAATCCAAGTAAAATTTGATTATTTTAAGTTAAATTTTTTTTTATCTAAATATGATTACCGGTAGGTTAATTCACAAAGTGAAAATATATTAGGTCCTAATTTATTATCATGTAGGTATTAAACGTTTTTTAACAATTAGATGAAGAAGAAGCGTCACTTCCGGTCGCCATCTTTTTTTTCCCGACAGGTGAAATCAATTAAAACATTTAGCTACGAAACACTTCTGTTCAAGACTCCTATCTGTTTAATGTCACCTTAAACAACGGTAAGTGTTTTATTTGTTGACTAACACATTATTTGTTTCTAAATGTCTTTTTTATTTTTTATTTTAGCTCAAACAGCAGCTCATGCCGTTTCTCTGACAGGCGCCAGATTTGCGTCATTGTTGTTGCGTAAAATTAGCTTTTTACTAATTTTTATATTTTTATTTTGCCCTAGGAGTACCGTGTGGTTGTTTTGCCTGCTGTGGTGTTTTTTTTATGAGCAAAGAGTTTTAGCTTTAACTCTTTGGTGACTTTGTGGCAATTCTTTAGTTGTGCAGTATTTTTACTTGCTCAGTCTTCATCATGTTTTAAAACTTGTCTGTTCTTGGTGTCTTATGTTCATCAAGAACTATGTGAACACTCAAGTTGTCCAATTATGATTTTTTTTTCTAGTACCAATGTAGATATCAACTCGTTTTTCTTTATTGGGCAATTGATTTTAGCCATACCATTTTATTGTATGTAAATGGCATAGACTATTAGTTCTGTTTTTAAATGCGCATGTGAAAAAAAAAAAACCTCAATCAGCACAGTATTTTTCTTATATTAGTTGTGTCCTTAAATTATATATTTGTAAGAATTAGTTAATACCATACCACTTTATTTATAGAGCACTTAAAACAGCAAGGCCAACAGCAGCAGTAATGGTGAACTTCCCAGTACTGGTTTTTCAACAGTAATGACTGGAAAGTCCATCAAAGGTGATTTTGTATTTGCTCAGGATTGTTGAGTAAATGTTTTTTAAACAAATTGAAACAGACTTCAAAATAGGGTGCATTTCATCTGTTTTTCTCAGAAGTATAAGCAATACAAATTAGTTTGGGCACAGTACAAAATGCCTATTTAAAAATATTTCCGACTGAAATTCACTGTTAGGTTTGATTTTTATATTTCCACCCAGAATTATTTTCCTTTGATCCTACTGTTTAATTCTGCCATATTTGTTTACCTGCACAGACTAAAACTTCCCTAAAGTAGGTGAATTATGTTACCGATAATTATGAACAAAAAATGTTAAATCATTTCATCTGGACCAGTTTCATTATAAGTGAGAAACGTTTCATCCCCCATCCAGAGGATTTCCTCAGTCTATGGCCTGCCAACACGATCCGTCCCATAAGTAGCCTTCACTGCTGTTTCAAGCCAACCTCCTGTTGGAATCTCACAAGTAGACTTTTAACGTGCAAAACACACCCATCCAAAACAATCAATCATCATGAACAACAAATGTTTTAGGTCAGATGGCCATCTTGCTACTCACCTGTACCCAGACAGTGTTAATATTAATCCAATATTAATCCAGTTCAATAAATCTAACAAGGTTAAGTCAGGTCCTGTGGATGGGTTCTTCTTTGTTGAAACGTTTTGTCTTTTGTCCAAAAGACTTCTTCAGTCAGTCTTCAGACTCGAGTCTTTTGGGTAAAAGTTAATGAAAAGTTTGAAGGTCAATGTTCTAAGGTCTAATGAGAAACCCAACAGTCTTAAACGCCAATAAAACCAAAGGGATGCTTTTTTTTAACAGGAAGTAGGTCCCAGCAGTTCTAACTCTGATTTTATCCTCAAATGGTGTCCCTATTGAGTTTGTTGATTCCTATAAATATTTGGGTGTTTTGGGCGACTCTTTTAAGCTCCATGTGGAAAACCTAGTAAAGAAACTGAAAGTTAAACTGGGTTTCTTTCTCAGAAACAGATCCTGTCTAACCCTGAATGCTAGAAAACACCTTGTATCTGTGACTTTCCTTCCCTCCATTGAGTACGGTGACATTATTTACATGAACGCTCCTACAAGAACCCTGCAGATGTTGGATGCTGTCTATCATGGTGCACTAAGATTCATAACTGGCTGTGATTATCGTACCCACCACTGCACCCTGTATTCACTGGTTAACTGGTCATCATTAACTTCACGCAGACCCTCCCACTGGTGCATTTTCATCTTTTAATCACTTCTTGGTCTGCTGCCTTCATACATCTCCTCCTACATGTCTCTGCGTGAGTGCAGCTATGGCGTGCACTCTCAGGACATTATTACCTGCAGTGTTCCCTCAATGAGGACTGAACTAGGCAAAAGGGCCTTCTCCTACTCTGCTCCTGTTTCTTGGAATATCTTACAAAAAGATCTGAAGCTCTCGACCTTGACCTCTCTAAGTGGCTTTAAGAATCTGTTGGACTCGTGGCAGGGACCAATGCAGACATGTTCCTGTTTTTAGTTTTCTACATTCGCCTTAGAATCTAGCTGTTTTTTATACTTTTTTTGCTATCTTTTATAACTGTCTATTGTTGTCGCTGTTGTCCATTGTTGTCATCATTCTTTGTTGAAGTCAGGTCTCTCTTGTAAATGAGTCCTCGAGGCTCAGTGAACAAATAGAGGTTGAACAGGAGCAATTATGTCTGCATCGCTGATGATGAACAGGAACTTTCAGGTGTTTAGCTTGATATCAGTGCTTTGTTATATATAGGTTTGGATCTGGGCAAATGATGTGCATGACTTCAGTTTTGGGCTTGCTTGTTGTCCGGTCCTGTTCTTTGCAAGAGTTAAGTGCTGTTATAGCAATTTGCAGGGTGCAGGACTCGGTGCCATATGCTGCATCATCAGCATACAGAAAATCACTCAATCAAATTTTTTTTAGCCAACTTGGTCTTGAGGCAGCACAGACTGTACAGAGTGCCACCACGTTTATGATGAATGTTGATTCCAGAGTCAGGCATGGACTACACCATTCTCACATTGCCATACGGAGCACATGTGAGAATAGGATGAACAACGCAGGCGCTTGTATACATCCTTTAAAAGACCTGCCAAGACTTTATTCCTTCATAGAAACTCCTGATAATATTAACAAACTTGGATGTAATGCCTGTCATTGGGAGTAGGCTCCACGTGAGCTGCATGTTCACTGTGCCAGATGTTTTGACAAGATCAACAAATGATGTGGAGATGGTAGTGTTCACTCCATTTTTCTATGAGTTGACAAGGGCTAACATGCCAATTGTTGAACTGCCTCCACTAAAGCTGTACTGAGCTTCAGGTAATGTTTCTCAATCCTTGGCCAAATACGGTGCAGAAACACTTGGACATACAGCTTGCCTGTAATTGGGTGTCCTTTGTAATTACCACCTATGAAATGACCCTCTTACATAGTCTCATAATGTAACCATCTTTGAAGTCTGTTTATATTGTGCATTTTGATTCGTCTGGTTATGGTAAATGTCATACAGGTCTATTCAACAAGTGACCTGTGGGCCAAATATGGACATTTTTTAAGCTTTTTTTTTTTTTTCTTGCATAAATTTGTCAGAATGCCAAACTATGGTAATTTATGTGACTCTTATGCTAAAAATGTACATATCAGCTATATCTTGAGCATCATATTAGGT